ACGAGAAGAAAGACAGAGTTACGGATGCGCTGAACGCAACCCGTGCAGCCATCGAAGAGGGCATTGTACCAGGCGGAGGAGTTGCTTTGCTGCGAGCAGCAAAGGTTCTCCCCAATCTGAAGGTGGCCAATGAAGACCAGAAACAAGGTGAGAAATTAAATTGCAAAAAATTTTTCGTCTTTATTTATTTTTTGAGTCAGCGACCATTCAGAGTACATGAATGATTTCGTGTTGTGTATTATTGAATATTGTTTTCCAGCGTTGTTGATTTGCTTGGTTATTCCAATATAGCCATTGTTATATCGTAAAATAGATGAAGAGAAAAAGAATCGAAAGAGTGGTTTCGTTGTAGGTGTTCGTATCATCCAACGTGCAATCCGTGAGCCAATCACGACGATAGTGCGTAATGCTGGCATTGATGCGTCAAGTGTGATTGAGAAGGTGCTCGATAATAAGGCACTTGATTTTGGTTATGATGCGATGAATGATAAATTTGTGAATCTCATCGATGCTGGCATCGTGGATCCGACGAAAGTGATCAGACAAGCACTGCAGGTAATTTTCATTGTTCCATTCGTTTGTTTTGATTTGATATTTTTTGTTTATTCAGGTAATTTTTTGGGAGAAATATATTCTGTTAATTGTTTTTTTTGTTCTGAATTGTATATTAATTGAATGTTTAAGGACGCCGCTGGAGTAGCCTCCCTGCTAGCCACAACCGAATGTGTGGTGACAGAGGAAGTAGGTGAGAAAAAAGCCGTGAATCCACTACGAGCAGGATTGGAATAAGGTGTTCGTGAGGAGGTCTTATCGTGAGAGCAAATTTTTGACGAATTTGTTTGGTAATTCGTTCAGTGCTGTGTTATTGTGAAGAAAATGGGTTTATTCGTGTTAAATTGTTAAATTTCTATTGTTCATTTCATATTGATGTTAGTTGTTGTCATTGTTATAATGGATGCTGTTCTAATTGTTTATTCCGTTTGTCATTTCATTGGTTCGAATTTATGTTTTTCTGGAGAGGGTTGCTGATATTACTTACGGGATATTGATGATATGTAATACATTGAATGTTGATGATGATTTGAGATTTTCTTAACAAATTGAATTGTTATAATGTTAGATGCAATAGAATATTTAATGATATGGGTTGTGTTCAGTTGACTGAAGTGGTAGTTGTTCATTGTTAAGCCGGTTCTTCAGTTGTTATTCTTGTTATCATTTGTTTTGGTTTTTT